TTCAGGTTGAAAGAATACGGTGGAGCCAAAAGTGGCTCGACCTCAAAACAAGCATTTTATGAGCTTACAAAGGGTGTTATGAATGAATTCAAAGGTATTTACATACATCCTGACCTCGTTCATTTTGTTGCTAAATTCAGCAAAAATATGTTTAGGGTAGATGGGTAGATATAACCCGATTTCTAACCTTCTTTTCTACCCTCATGTAATTTCATGAATTTCATCGTAAATGTTTGTCGAAACTTCTTCATCGTATATGCTTTGTCGAAACTTCTTCGTAAAGTTTTTGTCAAGACTTCTTCATCGTAATGAGCGTAAATGACAAAAAAATAATGTTTAGGGTAGAAGGGTAGATATAACCCGATTTCTAACCTCTTTTCTACCCTCATGAATTTTCAATGAATTTTCATGATTCTTCGTAAAATGTTTTGTCATGATTTCATCGTAAATGTTTTGTCGAGATTTTTATCGTTGTGGTCGACGGTTAAGCCACAAACGAATGTCCGACGTCCCACCAAAAAATATTTTTTATTTTTATTGTAGTAAGAACAGAAATGTCATCGAAGCAAAAACGTTCACGAACAAATCTAATGGCGAAACATTCACAAAAGGCACTTACAACGGTATTGAAGTCTTACGTAGAGACAAGGATGGTTATATAAATGCAACCAAATATGTGTCAGCAGTTTAGGAAGGACTTTAGAAGGTTGTTGGAAAATAAGTCCTGGGAAGAGTATTTTGAAGGCATTTTGTGAAGAATATACCAACCCGCGGAAAACAGCGGGTTGCTTTTTATACAAAATTCATGCAGGAATTCCTGATGAAATCAAACAGGTTAGAGGAATGTATGTAGACCCAAGACTTGTAAACTATATAGCAATGTGGGCTTCTCCAAATATTGCATAGCAGTTGGAAAAATTATGGACTCCATAGGCACAGAAAAGTTCATGAGAAATTAGATGAAGAAGAACTTGAAGATACAGTAGAGAATGCAAACCTTTGTTCGAAGAAGAAGTTAGAAAAAATGCATGAAAAACAAATAGAACATGAACGTGAGATATGTTCTGGTTTATAGAGACTCTCCATACGAACTAGACCAATGGGAACAAGAAGATTTAAAGAGAGAATTTAGAGAATATGAACTCGCTAAAGTAGCATTTGAAGTGCCAGAAAAGAAGTTAAAAGTTGGGGTCGTTTTGTAAAAAAATATTGTGATAAATGAACCATTTTTTTCGACAAAAATATTAATTTAGGGTAGATGGGAGATATAACCGATTCTAACCTCTTTTCTACCCTCATGAATTTTCATGAATTTTCCCGAAATAAAAAATAAAGTTGGTTTTTTTTAAAAAAATATTTTTTTTATTTTTATATGTAAAACATGTTAGCAACAACAGCACAACTCGTTAGTCATGAACCCAACTTCAATGTTAGTAAAGAGATGAAAAAGCTTCATTCCTTCTTCATATACTTTCGAAACAAAAAATCCAGAAGATAAGCGAGAACTTCTCCAAGGAGGATTTAGATTGCACTGCAAAAGATGAAACAGATGAAGATATCTTTATGAAATGCAGGATATTATTGACCATTTACCCAATGCCTGAAATCCAACAACAAAAGCTTACTATTCCAGAATTCGAGAAATAGAAGTCAAAGCAACTGACTCAGTAGAAATAAAGAAGTTCATACGAAAGGTTAACTATGAGTTTCTTGATTTCATTGCAACCACAAAAGTCATGGACAAAGATTGCGATATGGATAATAAGAACATCTCTGACATATACAAATCCTGTGGGAGTTTAAGACCTACGACAACTTTGTTTCGTTAGTTGCTGAATGTGTATGGCAGATAAGAATAAAGATAGAAGAGGTAAGATATGAATGAACAGATAAAACCCGCAATGAGTAGAGAGCAATTTAGATCTCGGACAAAGTTTCTCACATTTGTAGTGGAGATGGAAGGCTTTGAGGTATATTGTATTAATATATACCCCAAAGCCTTCCATCTCCACTTGAAAGTGTCCAAACTTTGGGTTAATACTTTCAATTAACCCAAAGTTTGGACACTTTCTAGAAGGAATTGGAGGGTAAGAGATATACATTCATATGGTATATTCTTACCCTCCAATTCCTTCTTAAAATGGGAGAAACTTTGTCCGAATGTTAAACTATTCGGACAAAGTTTCTCCCATTTTTTGAAGGAATTGGAGGCTATGAGATACTGATGCAATGTCAGTAACTCATGGCTTCCAATTCCTTCCTAAAACTCATAAAACTGGACATTACATGCATATAAAATTTGACATGTAAAGTCCACTTTTTGTGAGCGGGATTTGACTCCGTCAAATCCCCTTTTTCGTTTACGAGAAAGCCAAATTCTCTCAAAAAGTTAAGTAGGACCAATTTTTTATAAAAAAAATCCAATTTCATTATGAATGTTAATTAATTTATATAATTATTGAATAAAAAATTTTCTTTGAGATTATGAAAAGTTCTTTGAAAAGTTATTTTTTCTCATTTTTAAATATTGTATTAGCCTATTTATTTATAATCCAAATTAAATAACTTTAAATTCAACATTTAAAGAATAATTTTGAAGGAATTGAGTTACTTCCCCCGACGATAAAATTGAGAGGTTTACATTTTGACCGAACTTAGCATGCAACAGAATTACTACATACATAGTCGAACTGAACTTGATATTTTGAAATTTAAATTATTTATCAAAATTAAAATTTAACTTGAAATTTATAATTATTTAGTCATATTTTGCATAATTCTAAGTAGATTTTGTAAAAAATCAAGAAAGAAAAATTTTAACGTGCTTTATTTTTTCTTTTTTATAATAATACATATTATTATATAATTAACATAAAAAAAAAAAAAAAAAAAAAAAAAGGAGTGGGGCTTCCAGGGGCTGCGCCCCTTCTAGCCCCTAAAAAACCTAGAGGAGAACTAAAAAATTATATAGTAAGAAATTAAAGTTTTTATTCGATAAGAACGACATCGCTATCGTTTTCTTCTTCCTCCTCCTCTTCTTCATAGTCAGTATCTGATGGCTCTTTGTCAGCCACATGACCAGCAACAAATATTGAGACAAATTGTTTCTTTGGCTTTGTTAGCAGGAACTTTTGATGGTCGTAGAACACGAATTCTACATTTTGAAAATGTTGTGCTGAGTATTCTGTGAAATGGGAAATTGGAATTGGTTCTCCCATGCCAAAACAGCAATGGACGCGAACAAAACATCGTCTTCGACTCTTGCAGGTTTGTCAATTGCAACAGTAGTTATTATGTGGGGTTTTCCTTCACATCCTGCAAGAGATTGTACATGATAGATTGCTTTTTCTTCCCCCTCAGGAACTGAAAGTGTGAAATGGAATGAGAGTTCTCCATATTCATTTGCTTCTTCGTAATAGTTGTATGTTGTAGGATACACCAATTGAAATTTTCCTATTCTTGTTTCCCTCAGGTGTTGTCTATATTGCTTGGGAAAACATAAAATAAATTGCTCTATAGCTTGTGTTGCTATTAGATTGGTTGTAACTGGTAATTTTGAGGCGAAAAGGTCTACAAGAACACCGGGATTTTTTATGTCGTTTTCAATTGGTTTAACAGATTCTATGACTTTGTTAAACATTTCACTATAATCTGAGTTGTCTTCGACTCCCCAATTGTTAAGAAGTTTATACAACAATTTCAGTCTTTTCATGGCGTATTTTCTTTGAATGGATTCGGGTAGCGAGAGGTTACAGTCGTCGCTTTGTGTTTCGTTACTCGAATATTGTTCAAGAGAAATTAAATCTTGAAATTGTGCTCTTGTTAACATACTTGTAGAACTATGTGAAACTTGTTCTGGTGCTGGTTGTAAATCTGTTTCAGATGTTTCTGTTGTGTTTTGAGAGAAGAAGAACTCAAATTGTTGGACAATTTGTCTTGAATTGTAGAACTATGTGAAACTTGTTCTGGTGCTGTTTGGACAACTGTATCTGTTGTGTTTTGAGAAGAAGAACTCAAATTGTTGGACAATTTGTTTGCAATTGTATGAGGAAGTTGCTTTGGTATTATAGGAGGTCGTAAGGGTTTTGAGAATGGTGAGACATAAGTTGTAGGAACTTTAACTGCAGAGGTAGTCGACGAATTGTTTGCAATTGTATGAGGAAGTTGCTTTGGTATTATAGGAGGTCGTAAGGGTTTTGAGAATGGTGAGACATAAGTTGTAGGAACTTTAACTGCAGAGGTAGTCGACGAATTGTTTGCAATTGTATGAGGAAGTTGCTTTGGTATTATAGGAGGTCGTAAGGGTTTTGAGAATGGTGAGACATAAGTTGTAGGAACTTTAACTGCAGAGGTAGTCGACGAATTGTTTGCGACATTTTTTCTTCCTTCCATTATGAAAAATGAACTGTTTTTTTCGGACTACTCATAGAAAAGTTTAAAAAAACCGTTTTCGTCAACGGTACCCCCTATTTTTTTATTTTATTTAATAGTTACCGTTGGAAAACCGTTCCATCTCAAATATTGAATGAACTATAAACGTTTTTTGTTTTCTATATATACTTTTTTGTCCAACGGTAAAACTTTTTACACAACGGTTTTTGAGAGTCGTTGCCGTTGACTTTTTTGTAGAGCACTCAAAATAGTATAACTTTGTCCGGACAAGTAAGGGTCTATCGTCGCTACAGGAAAAGTTACCGGCGTTCCAAGGAAGTATACTTTGAGAAGCCTTTTTCCCCTTATAGAATGAGATAGGACGGTTATTTTACAAAACTGACAACACTTTGACCGAGTAGTTTTTTGTGCTGAACAAAAAGTGTCATATAAACATCTGTCAAAAACCGTTTTTTACTTCACTTAAAATGCCACGTAAGCTACGTAAGAATATACGTAAGAGGAAGGGAGCATTGAAACATCCAATAGTAAAACTGACACCACAACAACAGTTGCAACAACAAATGATGAATGACCCCACTATGTTGCAACAAATGTCAAGCAACCCTATGCTTTTAAACCGAGTTATAGGTGCACAGAGTGGAGGTTTAAGAGCGGCACTTTTAGCGAAAATGGCAGGCTATGGTGGAGCTGCAGACGGAACAGCTTATAACCCTCAAAGTCAAATGAATTTGAGTTCACTCAAAAATCAAATAACAGATGTCAAAAAGTCAAACATAGACATACAGAAACAAATAAGTGAAAACGAAAAGAAACTAGAATATGACAGACACACAAAGAAACTCAATGAGTTAAACGTAGAGAAAAAGAAGAAAGAAGAACAACTGAAAGAACTAAGTACAGAGGAATATGCGAAAAAAGTGTCAGAAAAAGCAGCAGAAGTAGCAAAAATGGAACAAGATGTTATAAATTTGAAAAACCATACTACTCAATATAAAGTACTGAAAGATGAAGAAATAAAACAAAAAGCCCTGAAGACATATATGGATAGCGATGAGTATAAAAAAGAAGTTGAAGCAAATGTAAAGGCAGAAAAACTTTTACAGTTGCAAAACCAAACCGTACAGTATGAAAACTTAGCACAAGAAAGTAAAAATAACGACGCAGCCATGCAAAAGGCAATGAAAAGCGCAGAATATATAAAAGCTAACAATGACTGGTTAGATGCCCAAGCCAACGCCAAAGCAGCCCAACTTATAGGGTCAATAAGGACAAAAATACAAGCGGATGAAGACAGTTCAAATGAAGCTTTAATGAATGCTGACTTTAAGAACGCCTTCGAAGCTCTTCATAGTAAGGTGAAACTAGTGAACGACTTCTCATCTGGAAAGAAACTGAAGTCTGAAGGTTTCGACAACGAGTTAAGAGAAGTAGCACAAAATATGACGAAAATAACAGATGCAGCAACGAGACAGGCAGTTCAAAGTGCCTATGACGCCGTTAGAGCAACTGTTGTGGAAAGTCAAGAAAAAGAGTTACAACAGACCAAAACAGACCTAGTAAATGCTTTCTTAAAAACGAAAAGTCAGGTAGGACATTATGCTGCAGATGGAACATATGTGCCAGCTGGTGGAACTTATATACCAGCTGGTGGAACTTATATACTAGCTAGTGGAACTTATATACCACCAAACCCTCCAAGAGAAGCACCTGCACCAGGACTACCTAAAACATTTACATCGTCACATGGACACAGACACAGGCATGCACCAAAACCAACACAACAACCAACAGTTCAAAACACTGCACCACAACCAACAGTTCAAAACACTGCACCACAACCAACAGTTCAAAAACTGCACCACAACCAACAGTTCAAAACACTGCACAACAACAACCACAAACAGAGCAAGGACATAAAAGAAGTAGAGAACAAGGAAACCAAGAATTCTTAAAAATGCTTAAGGAAGACTATGGTTACCCAGATACTCTTGACTTTAGTGACAGATATAAAGAAGCTATTAGAAAGTTCAAGGAAGGAAATACTGACCCGAACCTATTTAGCTTTATGGTTCAGCACCAAATGGGATATAATTTCAAACCTGGAAAATACAAGCTCGCTAAGGGATATGATTTAATAGCATATCATCCAAATGACATGACTGAATTTACTCCGAGATATTTGGTGTCAGAGATAAATGATAATTCAACTATCTTCATGAAACGCGTAAAAAATAGAGACGGAACGAAAGAAGAAAGGGTTATGAATGCGGATGGCTTAAATAGGGAACTTGTTAAAAACGGTCTCGGAATATATGAAATGCCAGCAGATGAGGTACAAGAAACTCCACAGGAAGAAGTTCAGATACAACCAGACATGGAAGAAATAGTTCAGCAACAACAGCTAGAAGAGCCTGAAGGAAACGAACAAGTCCCTCCTTTGGAAACTAACTTCACAGAACTAGATGAAGATTTGGAACAGCCGAAAAATCTTGACCCTCAACAAGAGTATGCGGAGAATATGGAATCTTTCCAAGAGTCTAAGAAAAATTCAGCTGACATAGTAGAAGAATATCGAAAAATGTTCGCCGACATACAAAAGACTCCAACATCAGATGAAAATATTCAGCATAGAATGGAAGTACTGAAAGAAAATGTACGCAAATACAACAATCCTTTTTACTTACGACCATATAACGTTCAATCTTTGGCTGAACTCGGTGAAAATAAAAGGTTAAATTTCAACAAAACATATAGAAATGAAACATTGTTTAAAGTTCATTCAGAACCTAACCAATATGGAAACAAACCTACTTTTGTTTCTGCAGACTATGGAACTACAATGAGATGGGGTCATAAAGCTAATCCGGATAGGTGGTTCATAAACTTACAACCACAATTCCAAGAAGTTGTAGACGCAATGGAAGTGAATGGTGAACCAGATATAGCTGGTATTTTCAGCGCGGCTTTAATGCCATTGAAAGATATGAAAGATGCAGATATTTTGAACCAGTATGAAATGAACATGGCTGATGGAAATATAACACCTGACGTTCTAGAACATTTATCTCAAAGAACTACACAGAACCATAAAGATGGTATATTTGGTGAAGAGTTTAGAAAGAAAGTTAGGGAGAGAGAAGGAAGAGAACCTATTGTACATGACCTTGCAAACGAAAGTTTGCAAAATGTCATAAAAACTTACTTTGCAGACAATGAACTGAGAAGGGATGAATATTTAAGAAAACTCAAATGGACAGTACCAAATGAAATGTTAGTATTGAAAAACATGTTCCTTGACAAAATAAAACCAACTACAGAAATAAATGACGCAAGCCTGAAACGTTGGGTAAAAGCTTTCCCATTCACAAAAGATATTATTGGTAACATGGAAAGAAAACCAGAATGGCTACAAAAACATATATTTGGAAACGAGCTTATTCCATATGGACAAGCTCTGTTTGAAGAGCTTGAACCGGAAACTCAGGAAAGAGTCATGCAAACAATACGCGAAGACTCAAATACAAACTATGACAAAATCTTTCTAGGATATAGGTTACCTGAGATGGGCGACCAGAGCCCAAAGGCAAAAAGGACACGTGAAATTTACAACATACTAGGTGAACATGAGGCAAAGATGCAACGACTTGAAGCAGAGGGCAAGTTACCAAAAGCGACACCAAAGAAGAAGAGTAGAACAAAGTGAAAGTAGTGAAGAAGTAACTTCATCTAGTGAAAGTAGTGGCAATGAAGGAAAAAGAAGAGTTAAAAACTCAGTCAGGAAGAAAGTAAAGCTTGGTACGAGTGGGTTCTATTATGATATATAAATCCAACTATTCTATATTTTTACCCATATGAAATGTACGCCGCTCAGAATATAACGCCAACAGTTTTGGATGCCATGAACGGAAATGTTTCCGAATGGTATAACGAATGCGACAATGCCATTAGAAGGTCAGAAATAGTTCCTGGAACTTACGAATATACAACTGCTGTTTCTTATGGAAACGTAGGTGAGTTTGGAGAAGGTTCTTCAACAACAGTAGATATTGCTTGCGACAGGTTTCATATTATTTCTATTGACAACTCATTCTTATACGTGGAACAAGACATTGAAATAAAACCTTCTGCCAAGTTGTCTGACAAGAAAGGTTGCAATGGAATTTTCTATGTCGGATACCAATATGCTCCAGAAGTTTTCATGGGATATAAGATATATTCTAACTCTGACTTAGTTCAAACAGTAACATGGGCAAACTATGAATGGTTCGCTTTGAGAAACTCAGTACAACCACAAGCTAGAGAACAAACAGACCAGTATGCAAATATTGAGAAAATAAGAAGACTTGACCCTAACGTTCCAGGAGTTTATGTTAACCTTTCTGGTTCAGATGGAAATGCTGCCACTAAAGTAAAACTGAAACTTAGAGTTCCTTTGTCATCTTTCCTCATCTTCAGGTTTTTAAGATACTTGCCAAACTGGGCAGGAAAAATTTCTATTGAACTTACTCCAAGCAAAAATAACTTAGTCATTGCACCAACACAAGACCCATTCACTATTACAGACGTAAAGGGAACAAATCAAACGTCATTCGCCGAATTTTGCAAAGACAAAGTTGACTTAGACTTTGGTTTCTCAAACCTCAACAATGAAGTAAACTATTATTTCAATGCTGCTGGAACTGCTTGGGACCCAGTTAAGTTCACATGCGAAAAATTTGAATGCAAGAGAATAGAAAGCAGACTTGCAGTCTATATGTTGGACCCAGATATTTCAAATGCTTTAGCTGCCAAATATATTGCAGTTCCACTTATGTTCCCTATACACCAAATATCTGTCAAAGACTTTGCAGGTGAAGTTGGAAACCAAAATCCAGGAGCCGCAGGTGCAAGAACAGATATTGCTTTAACAACTGCAATGAAACATGCAGATACTATGTTTGTACTGTTCAGACGAACTATAAATGACTATTCTTGTTTCTACAACCCCGGTATTAAATATCATATAAACATAGATGGCAAATATTATCCAAGAGAAGAATATTCTACAGTTGAGGATATGAGGTCATACAACTTGACATTAGATGCTATGAACTTTAACAACAACTTCACAACAACCATTAACCCTGAAATGCAAAGTTCTATTATGCCATATGTGAAAGTATGGACTCATACAGGAGGTCAAAAAACTCAATATACAAATGGAGACCGTTCAAACTTTTGGCTTGGCATTCCATTTGCTGACTCAGAAGACTTTATGGGTGGTATTTCAACTGTTGGTACTGTACAAATACAATATACTGGTGACAGAGACGGTCCAGATGAATTGAAAGCAAAGAAGTTTACAAAACCAATAGCACTTTTCACGGAAGATGCTCTTTTGAAGATTCGTTCGATGAAACCTGCTGGGGCTCCTCAGATTGGCATAACGACAGCTTCCATCGAGCAGATTTTGGCAGCAGGTCAGTAAGTTGTTCTTGAACTGACTTCTCTCCGTCAAATATTGACAGTACGCCAGTTTTGACATAATATTGTAAGATAAACTTACCTTTAGAAATATCTGTAAGTTTTGTTGTTATATTTTTGTCAACGTCAAGAACTTTCACCATTTCAGTTATACCAACTTTCTTTGCTTTATGAAAATATTTTGGTTCAGCAAATATTGCTATTCTATAAAATTTTCCATTGTTTGTATAAAGAACTATTCTGTCAATGTATTTGTATTGTTTGTGTGTGTAAACTTTGTTCTGCTTCAATTCGAAGAGATACTCGAATACGTCCATCTTTTTATTCTAAGTAAAATGTCATTTCCGAAAAATAGAAGCGTAAGTGTTTCAAAAGGTTTAATGGCGGTGGCAGATGTGAAGTTAAATTCACCAACTCAAACAAACAGTCAAAGTGTTGTTGTCAATGTCAAAGACAGAGATGTTGAAGTGGGGAAACCATACGAAGACGAAGATGGTATAGCAATTGTTCCTGTAAAAGAACAACCAACATATCCTGAAGTTAGCAGAGACTTAAGTTCTGTTGCAGATATTCGAAACGACTACCAACAACTTAAAGACAAACTTCAAACTCAGGAGAAGATTTGTCAAGCTTTAAGTATAATGTTAAACTTGGTCGAACACAACCCTGTAAAAGTGAACTCATATGTCATTGCACCTCATGAAGTTTTGAAAGAACTATTGAAACTTTTGACAGAGGCAGACGATATAAACATCAAAGAAATAGAACCCGACATTAGTTGCTGTGGTGTTTCATATAATGTCATTGACAAGATATACGTTATGAAAGGAGGTGAAACGTTGAACTTAAAGTATAGTTTCCCAGACGTCATAAAAATATTTGACGACCACAACATTTCATTAAAATTTATTTGCTAAGTAAAAATGTCAAAACTTCTTGAAAGATGTTTGAAGAAAAATAATATAGACTTTATTTCATGTAAAGGACTTTACACACTTTTGAACGATATGAAAGACCCTGTTTTGTTTGTTCGTGTAGACAAAGGAAAGTTCTATGTCTTTACAAAATATTTGAACTTCTTAGACAGAGAACTTCAAGAAACGCCATGTGAAAGTTTAGATGAAGTTCTTCTCCACTTTCAGAAAAACTTTTAAATATATATAAATGGCAGAAGATATAATGGTTTATACTATTACGACTAAAAACCCTGAGTCATATAATTCTATAACAACAAACTTACAAAGTCCTCAAGGACGATATTGTAAACTAACCTTAAACACAATGACGACTAAAGCCTGTTTTGCTCTTTTGACACCAGAAGACTTTATTGTTGTGAATGGTAAAAAATACTCCTTTGAAGATACTTACTCAGATATACCACCAACAGGTTTTGTTGACTTATTTAATACTTTAAGTACGGGTGTAACATGTGCTGCAACTAGAGCAGGTTTCGTTATGTTTGGATGTCCGACTGAGTTTACTATAAACATATGAGCTATAATACAAAACTTATTTCTGGTTTTTACTACCAACAGTTTCCTATAACAGGAAAAGGTGTCATACAAGGAATGTCTATTCCATTGACTTTAAGTACACCTATTTTATATATTGTTTCAAACTTAGGTTCAAAGTGTTATTCGAATGTCGACAGAAACTATTATGACCAAAAGATACTTATGCGTATAAACAATACTTTCTCTGCTGGTTTGCCTATTGTTCATTCGAATGCAGAATTTTCAACCTTAGTGAACTCAAACACTTTGGCAAGTATAACGTTGACATTAGTTGACGCAAACTTTGTTCCTGTAAAACTTTTATGTCCTATGTATTTGTCAATGACGGCAGAAAGTTTCGAATTGGAAGATGCAACTGGTGAAAGTATTGTATTACAAGAACAACTTCAACAACAAATAGCTCAAGAACAACAAATGCAACAACAAAGTCAAGAATAAAAAAAATATTTTTTTTATTTTTATAAAAATGTACAGAATAGATGTTTCAGATTTTTATGACTTCCAAGCATTCAGAAATATGTGTCCATTTAGAGACTATAACAAATCAGTCGAGAATTTGAAACGTTTAGTCATTTATGTCGACTCTGCCCCAGAATGTTATGTTATGAAAGAATGGGATGTTGTCTTTAACAAACCAAGAGCAACAATAGTTTCAGAACAAGAATGTAGACAGAAACTTAAGAAAATAAAAGTCGTACAAGTTGGCATGAAGATGTTAGATGCTTGGGATATCTTATTGTCAAAGTTAGAAGATTTTTCAGTTCGTGGTATAAAGTTCTATACACCTTCTCCAAACTTCTATTCTATCTTCACTGGATATAAATATGAACAAGTAGAATGGAAAGAAAATATTATAGAAGCTTGGTTAGACCATGTCAAAGAAATTATATGCAATGGAAACGAAAAGGTTTATGAGTATATCTTATGTTGGTTTGCAAACATCTTACAACATCCAAGTGCTAAAAATGAAACTGCTCTCATTATAATTGGAAAACAAGGAACTGGTAAGAACACATTCTTTACAGATATCTTATGCAAACTGTTAGAGGGCTATTCGAACCCGAATATGACAAACATAGAAAACATCTGCGGTAAATTTAACTCCTCAATAGAGAATATGAAACTTATAGTTTGCAATGAACTTCAAAGTATAGATACAACAAAAGTTTTGAACTCAGATGCTTTGAAGAGTCTTATAACAGACAAAGTTGGAGTTGTTGAAAGAAAGTATAAAGACCAAAGAGTTTGTGAAAATGTTGCAAACTTCATTATGGTTTCAAACAATGTTGTTCCGATGAAGTTAGAAAGTTCTGACAGAAGATATGTAGTTGTCAGAACGTCAGAAGCTCATATGCAAGATACAGAATATTTTGACGACTTAGCAGAAACTTTGACATCTGACTTTTACAACCACTTGTTCTCATACTTTATGACATTAGATATTTCAAAGTTCAATCCAAGACAAATTCCACATACCGAAGAGAGACAAACATTGTTAGAAGCAAACAAGAGTGTATATGAACTGTTCATAGATGAAACTGACTTTGAGTGTTTAGATGAAAGGTCATTGTACGATTCGTATAAACAATATTGTCAAGAATATGGTTATATGCCAGCGTCTAAACGAACATTCTTGGCAAATGTCAAAAGTCTTTTAGACGTACAGAATGGTGTATATACAAAGAAAATTTTTTATGAGTAAATTTAAAAAAAATATTTTTTTATCCGATAGAAAAGATGACGAAATATATTTCAGTAAACAAGTACATGTCAGGACTTAAAGAAGAACTAGACCCATTCACATATTTGAATGTTTACTTCTACCATTTTGAAAAGTCTTCATTCAGCAAAGTTTGGAACATCGAACCAGTTAAGTTTGCTATTGTGACTAAAAATGGTGCGAAATTTGAAGACTTAGACATAGAAGGTTTGTTAGCAGTCAAAGAAAATTTTGACAGAAGGTTCTCAAACCTTAAAGAAGGCAAAGCATACAAACTTGTTATACCTTATGAACCAAAGAAGACAGACGACTATGAATATTATGAGTCTAAGATAGTTGAAGTTCAAGGTAAATTGGGTAAAAAGATTTTAGAGTCTAAGCCAGTGTTTGCTCCTAAAGAGGAAGAGAACATTGACATTGACCCAGAAATGTTCTAAAAATAAAATTTTATTTTTACATGTCAAATTTCTTTTTCTCTGGAACTGGTTCAGGTTCTTTCTTCTCTTCTACTTTCTTCTCTTCTACTTTCTTCTCTTTCTTTTCTCTCTTCTTCTTTTCTGGTGGAGTTATGTCAAATTTCTCCGAACCATATTTATGTAAAAGTTCTTTGTCCTTTAATAGCTTATCTATTCTGTTTTCTGTTTCATCTTCAAGAACAGCGCATGTGTCTTCTTTGCATTCTAAGAACTTTTGTTGGACTTCATCTTTCCAATCGGCGTCATCTCTGTCAACAAGTCTGTCATTGACAAATTTTAAGACTGCTCTTTGTAATGTTTTATGGTTCTTGTCATATTCCCAGAAACAGAACTTTAGAACAAATTCACCTTTCTTGTTTACACTATGTAAGATTTTATGGTCGACAGATGTTTTGCTGTCGAAAAGCTTGTCTCGAATATAGATAGCGAAATCGCTAGACATTTTCTAAAAGATAAAAATTTTAATTTTTCTAAAAATATGTTAGAAAAAAAGTTTGCTGACATTGACAAAAAATTTGAGAATGTTTTAAACAAGAACAAGAGGAAGTTAGAAAATGCTCAGATAAAGCCTATACATGAAAAGTTCTTATTTGCTCAGAATGGTATAACAGGTCTAATTGCACCACCTGGGTCGGGTAAGACTTTCACTTATCTTAAAATGGCTGCACAACAACAAGAACTAGATGAGAAGAACCCATTCTATGAGTTAGTTGTTATTTGTAGTACTTCTGGTCAATTTGACCAAACCGTCAATTCGTTCAAAGATATTATAAAGAAGTCTAAGTTAGTATGTATAAAGGATACTGAGTTGTTAGATTGGATAAAGAAGTACCAAAGAAGAGTTTTGAAGTACAATGCTATAAATGAGTATATAAATTCGAAGTTTAAAGACCCAAATGAGGAAATGCAGAGAATATTAGAGAAGAAACACTTCAGAAACAAACAGAAAGAGATAGAATACATTTCGAAGAAATTGCAATCTTACGATTGGAAGACATACCCTCATAGGTGTCTTCTTATCTTAGATGACTTTGCTTCTCATCCTTTGCTTAAGAATAGAGAACAAGATATGTGTCGAATTCTTAAGAAGCTCAGACACTTTAACATCTCAGTTGTCATTTGTGTACAGACAGCAAAGAGTTTAAGTAAGGATGTTAAAAGAATACTTACTGACATTATACTTTTCCCCGGATTGTCCGAAGACGATTTCATGGAACTTATGAAAGAGTCCATGGCAGGTAAGTTTGACAGACATGAACTATGGGAGAAGTACAAAGTCATACAAGACCCTCATACTTCTTTCAGAATTCATATCTACGCAAACAAAGTTCAAATTGTAAAAAGTCAAGCGTAAAAATAAAGAGTTCATTTACTCTGCTTGTTTGAAGTTGTCAAAATACTCTGTTATTTTTTCTTTCAGTAGCGGTAAGTCTTCTTTGAAGGTAAGTATTGTACAACCTTTCATATCATAGTGTGTTTGAGGTAACGTATCTTGAACTATTTGTTTCACATCTTCATTCGGTGTCATTGAAATCGGTAAGTTTTCGCGATAGAACCAATTTCTGTCAGATTTGTAAATCTTAGCAAGGTCGTAAAAGCTTTTGTTGTTTCTTCTGACTAAATGCAACATAACCATATCTTTATCTTCTTCATTTTCCATCTCTTCAGTATAAATCATATACTTATAGTTCTTTTCCTTTCCTTTTGGTACCGAACGTGGTATTCTTTTCTGAATGTTTTTGTCTTTTGCTTCAATGACTTCATCTTTTGCTTGAAGTTTCTTTTCCATCTCTTCACGTTCTTGTCTATGAATTTCGTCAAGAAGTCTGTAAACATGCCATGCATAACGAGGCGAAGCCCACATTGCAACAGCATTTACAAGAAGTCTATGTACATAATATCCTCTTAAATTTATTGGCAAATTTTTACGATTTTCATGTGTTTTATGCATGGCCGGAAAAAGTCGGTCTAGAGAAATTTCACTCAAAAGTTCTTGTGTGCTTTGGTTTTTGAACCAGTCGTCTGCGTGTTTAGTGTCTGGAGCAAAACATGCTGTCAAAATACTTTGCATTTGGTACATATCGTCTTTGACTGAACGAATGAGACGTAACTGTTTGTTATACTGTATGTACTCGTATTCTTCATTTATAGCTTCATGAACGATAGCAGTTGTTGTGTTCTCTGATGTTGACATATCTGTCCTTACATACAAAATAAAAAAAAATATATAAAAATAAAACTAACTTTATTTTTTATTTCGGGAAAATTCATGACAAATTCAAGAGGTGAGAAAAGAGGTGAAAAAACAGGTGAGATCTCACCACTTCACCTAAACATTATTTTTGCTGAAAAAGTGTCATTTTTTCATGTCCGAAGACTCGAAGGTGCAACACTTCCAAAATACCGACGAACTCAGAAGAGCAGCATGGCAGTATCTTCTTGACAACTTCTTTGAGTTCTCCAGGTACACCTTGGAAAATGCTGAAGAACTCCGACACAGAGAATTTGGAGAAATTGCACTCCAATACTACCTTGACAAACAAAGGGTAAACAAAGGGTAAAATAAGACTAAAAACTTAACGTTTAAAAAGTGACATTTTTATGAGCTCCGAGTCACCGAGAAAACTTGGTCAGATGTTAGCAGCTTACTTCCCCGAGGAGGATGGAAGCGTTACATACATCAGGTTCAAAAACAACGAACCTGGAATTGCGTACAAAATTCGCAATTACATGACCATGGAAGAGTACGAAAGGTTCCTACAAGAGAAACCAGCTCTAAACAACTCAGAAAAGAAAGAATAAAAAGTTTAACTCGTAATTGTTTATTTTTTTTACTTGTATGGGCAAGCTGCAAGAATGAAGTCGACTATCTCAGTCTTTGTCTTGACCAGTTGGACGGCTCTTGCGAGTACGTCTGTTTTGCGGTCTCCAGCTGGTGTCTGACCTTCGTAATTGCGCATGTTCTTGAGAGCTCCAACTGTAAATGGTTGTAGGATGAAGAGTCTCTCAGACTGCTTGAGGTAGTCTTCACGGTCACGAACCGAATCTGTGGTACGAGTCGAATCGGTCGATTTGAGGGAAGAGAGTGAGAGCCTGTCTTCTTCCATTGGGGTAGTAGCATACTCTTTGCGTAAGCGGTTCAGACCTTCCTCGAACTCTTGGTCTCTCTTGGATTGAGATTGGAATTGTGGGGCAGGGTTTTGCAGAAACATCCAAGGGTTGGGGAAGTAAGGCATAGGCTGAGGAGGAGGGTAGTTCGGGAAGCCTTGTGGTAGGTAGTAACCTTGAGGTGGAAATTGGTAGTAATTTGGTGGAGGACTTGCTGGAACTGAGGTTGCTGAGGAGACTGTTGTGGTTCTTTAGGTTCCTCTGGTTTGGGAATGGACTCGGTTGGTGGGACGTGGGACATCTGTTTGTGGCTTAACCGTCGGAAGGAAAAACCTTTCCTGTCGGAAGGAAAAACCTTTCCTGTTGGAAGGAAAAACTTTTCCTGTCGGAAGGAAAAACTTTTCCTGTCGGAAGGAAAAACTTTTCCTGTCGGAAGGAAAAACTTTTCCTGAAGTTCGACCAAAAAGTTCTCAATTTTCGAAAATTTGAATGGTTTACGGACGGACAACTGGAAAAACTTTTCCTGTCGGAAGGAAAAATTTTTCCTGTCGGAAGGAAAATTTTTTCCAGTTGTCGGGAAAATATTTTCCTGTCGGATGGAAGGACTCGGAATGCCAGAAGGATTTGACGAGGCAGTTTACCTAATTGAAATTAACGACTGCATAAAAGACTACTTGCGCAAGGTCATGAAGCCCAAGGTCAAGTTCACCAGTATTTCTGGAAGGTCTACACTTCAGCTCGAGACTTCGACTGGAATTCCAATTCAAATACCAGACGGGACAGCCTACGACGACATAAAGGACGCCAAAAGAGAAGCTCTTGTTAAGTTCCTAAACAAACGTCCTTGGATAAAAATACCAAACAAGGAGAACCCCCTACCCCATATGAAATTGGCAATTCAGTCTCTCCTTCGCTTCTCGGGTCAACCATTCTACATAACCTGTGAAGGCGACATCCAACCAGTTCAGTCAACCTTAACGTTTTGAGTAAAAACATTTTTTTTTCATTTTTTGAATGAAGCAAGTTAAATTCGTCCCACACCAAACTCAATGGACCGATGAAGAGTTTCAAGCTATGGTTGAAGGTGTTGAGAACGACATAGACGGCGAACTTGAAGGAGCTCAAACCACAATTGCAACCAAAATTGCACAAGTCAAGGAACAGATAGCTCCACTTAAAGCTACCAAAGCTACTCTTGACCTCATGGATAGTTACCGTTTAGATGTCAAGAGTGGAATAAGACAATTAAAATTAAAACTTCTAAACTACGAAGCTATACTCCAAAAGTTAGCAGAAATGAGAAGACTTTACCAGAGCTACTTACATGTAAGGGACTTACCTTCAAGCAGTCCGACCAAAGATGAATTTGTTGACATTGTCCCAATTTTGTCCGAAAGTCAGCTCAGATGTTTCGAACTGCTCCCAACATATCCGGAATATGAACGTTTGCCTGAACTCTTCCGCAATCTCAAAAAACGTTTTTTGGTTCTCATGTTCCAAACTTTTATCGGAAGAGACAACAAACGTTCAGAAGAAGAACAAGATATTATTTTAAACTTGTTGTATGACATAACTGTCATAACAAGCTTTTTGAAGTAAAACCGCCATTCTCAAACCACTTCATTTTTCGATGTCCGAACAAGCACCGAAGCCAAACTCAATGGCAGATGTCCTTTCAAGGTTGCCAGACAAGCGCCCAGTTCAAATTCAAATTGCCCAATTGAAAGCTCATCTGACAAACACCATTAAGACTCTCCAAAGTAGTCTTATGACAGAGATGACCAATCTCAAAGCCGATGTCCTCATGAACCAAGCTTCCAATGAGAAATGCCTGAACGATTTCACGGAAACCTTGCGCAATTACGAGAGAGAGAACCGAGACCTTGCCAGACTCATCTACCGTTTCTTCGAAGAGATAGACGCCATCTGGAAGGTACTCGGAAAGGACAGAACATGCAACACCGTACTTCGTGAACACAGAATTGCCGAAGGTATTATCAAAGAAGAGGAAGAAGAGGAAGAAGAGGAAGAAGAAGAAGAGAAACACGAAGAAAAGGAAGTTTGGGCAACCCTTGTTGCCGATGACGCTTACGAAATTTCCCAACCCTACCCATACCAAATCCGCAACAAGGAGACAGGCAAGGTTCTTACCCCAGTCCTCAACAACTTGGGACACTTGAACCTTAACCTTCGGAATTACGGTTCAATTTCCATGGGCAAGCTTGTCGCAATTCAATGGGTTCCAAATCCAGACAAGAAGACGAGGGTCAGACACATTGACGGTGACAAGCTCAACAACCGTAAGGAGAACCTCGAGTGGTTCTAAGAGTAAAAAAATTTTATTTTAGGGGGAAACCCCAAGTAAATTTAGGTGTTTATTTGGATAAGTATGTTAAATTAAGGGTAATTTGCAAAATTAGTTCCCGACCTTTGAATTGGGCTCTTTCGTTATCCCAGTTGCGTAGGAGGTCGTCCCAGAGGAGTTGGTAGAATTGCCAATCCAAGGACGATTTGTCCTCCCAGGCATTGAGGATGTACTGCTCGTAGAGTTTCATGACCTCTGCCTTGCACCAGACACCCTCTCCCTTGGAACGTAAGGCTTCTTCGAAGTGCTCGAATGCGATTGGCTGCGTGACCATCCGAAATGACACTTTTTGTCCGTTTGGTCAATGTTCGTGTCTCGTGCCATAGTCGACGAAAATACAGACAAACAGGTTGTATATGAGTTTGAGACCAAGAATGGTGTAACTCGACTTGTCCGATTCAAAGACTCCGAGGGCGACCATGAAATTAAACGGAAATTAGCTAGGAAGGAATATAAAAATTTTTTATTTCATGCAATGTTTTATTTCTGTGCCGTCTTCAAGTATGCCCCAGTACTTACGCTTGGAGAGGACATGAACTTCGGTGAAAATTTTGTCCAATTTGAATTGACCATCTTTTCACCGACCATTCCCATTTCAATGAGTTTGTTGTATCCTTCTTCGTTCGTCATGAGTGCGTCAATGTTCTCATAGTAAACCTTCACTTTGGATTTGACTTCGGAGAAGAATTTGTTGTAGTTGTCAAGGACTGCCTTTGCGAACTGAGGGTAAGACCAATGTTCGACAATAGGTTTTTAATGTGGTTACTAAGCCACTTTGACCTTGAGTGAATTCGTACTTCAAAACAAAAGGGAAAAAACCTTTCAACAAAGTTGTCGACCTTCTCATAATGTTTACTCTTCATCTCTTGAGGTTTCTTAATGGAATATCCCCATGTCGAATTCATAAGCAATTTGAGTGTCATTGCAAGTTTGGGTTTGAAGCTTTCCTAATATCATACAGTTGTTGTATGACTTTTCCAACTGTATAGTTCCTTCCGGGAACTCACCATCTTCGTTTGGAATTCCAGTCGGAATATATTGGACAAACCTCATGTATGCAGCGTTAAGGTCGACATAGTATATCTTTTCATCTGAGTCGAACTTGTCGCAACCAATTGGTCCAGTTTGTGGAAATTCAAGTGAGTCTCTTATCTTCTGAGAAACTTCTCCTGTTATCTCATAAACATCGTCGAAGCAACCTGTTTCATATAAAACCTTCTGACCTAACTCAGATGCTCTCCAATACAATTTGACGTCAATTGGATGTCTCAATGGAAGTTTGTTTATAGCATCTTGAAGTTCTTGCAACCTCATTGGGAGTTCTTCTGGTTCAGGTTGGTATCCGAACAATCCAACTCCTTGTGGAATTGTGTACTTCTTTTGTACTAGAACTTTGTCTGGAACAACTTTTGGTCTTGCTAACAATGAAAAGTTTGTTTCGTCTTTTGGTACAAAAGTTTCTGTCAGCTTGTCATCTGGAATTGGTTCCAACAAACCTTTCTCGAAAAGAATGTTTACAGCTCTGACAATGTTGCACTTGCCTTTTCCGAACAATGGGTTTGTAAGACTTTCGTTCAACATGAAGTGGTTGTGGACAATTGCAATCTTCAACCATGGTAAATTGAACTCAACAACATAGTCGTCATGTGAAGAACCTTTAGCTGTAGGTATGTTGACTCGGATATTGACATTTGCCAACGGTGCAATTTTTGCCAATTGACCTCTGAGAATGTACCTTGTCTTCACACATGACTCAAGATACTTCATCTTCTCATCTGTAACAAGACCAGAGTTCCTGAGACATGTAAGAATGCAAGGTTCATTGACAATTGTTTCAATTGAATTGTAAATTCCATACCTTGTCAAGTCAATGTCAGACTTATTTATGAACGGAAAGTATCCAGCATGTTGTCTGACTGCTTGAGGGTTAGGTTGGTACCATTCGAACTTGACACTTGCAATTCCTTCAATTGCATTCAAAATGTCTGAGTCGGAGTCAACCATTTGTTCTCTCTTTGTAGTCTTGAAAGCGTCAAGAAGTTTTGCAGCTGTTTGTTCATTGCCATTTGCATAGTAAATGTGACCATCCAAATCTGTTATGGTCAATCTGAGATTGTATCCTTTCTTATTTCCGTCTTGAATTGCAGCAAGTACTCCCATGAAGCCTTCTTTGTTCTTTCCTTCGTCAAAGTTTACTGTAAAGGTTCGACCAGATGTAATTTGACTTCTAACTTCACGGTACTTCTCATATGCATATCTTGTTCTTTCCATGGGAGCATGACCATCCTCTGCACTACCTTTTTTCCTTCTCAAAGGATGCAATTGTTCGTCATGTTTCCAGTAGAATCTGGCAAAGCCGTCGTGTCCTTCAACTTGAGGTTCACTAACATCGAAAGGCATGTTCATAAGACGTTCTTCTTCTAACCTCTCTAGTCTGTTTGGATAATTTGCACGTGCTGTTTCCAAATCCATTTCGTAGCGAAGACCAGCCAGTTTGTCATAGACTTTTATGGGTCTTCCCTTCCTATATTTAAAATTCTTCGAAACTCTCCAACCATATCTTTGCAACTCTGCTTTTATTCTAGCAGATTTTCTATCCATTCTATATGGGGGCATTTTTATAAAAATAAAAAAATGTTTTTTTCTTTACTTTACATAACCGCCTGCTGCCATAAGTCTTTGACGCCAACCCATACCAGCTAATGAAGGTTGACTTGGTTTAGTTTCCAAACTAAACTTTGGTTTTGGTTTATCTTCAGTTTTTGGTTTTTCTTCTTCTATCGGTTTTTCGTCACTTTTCGGTTCCTCTGACTTTACCTCACCTGCAGGAACAGTTGTGTCGTTAACATCTTCATAAATATCATATGCCATTTGTTTTTGTTTTCCTTTCAACTTTTTGTGTTTGTTGTAAAGTTTAGAATATTTTGACTCTAAGTCAATGAGATGTTCTATAATGAACTGTTGGTCAGTGAAGTAAACTTTCCATCTGTTGTCTCGAAAGCTCCTTCAGACTTCAATATTTTATTTGTGAGAGTCTGTTTCTTTTTTGAGATACTAGCCGTTCCATTTCTATGAAAAGTGACTTTATAGTTAGGGTTTGTATTTCCAGACCTGGCACTTTCTATTATTGAATTTTTCTCTTCATCTGTAAGTTCTTTGACAGGTTTTGACAATGGTTCTGAACTTTTTGTTTGTGGTGTCAAATCTACCGTTTCAACTTCTTCGGTCATTTCATCTCAGTAAAAAATTTTAGTTTGGTTTGTTTTCAACTGGTTGTTTAGGTTTTTTAAGTCGTCTAAAACTTCCTGAGGTATAGGAAGAACTTGACAAACACGTTGTGTAACTGCTGGAAGTCGACAAATCCATCTTGAACCCATTTGTCTCAATGCTGTATTGTTCATTTCATCTCAGTAAAAAACTTTACATTCCCCACGTTTGAGGTGGTTGAGGTTGGTTATTGTTTACCCACTGTTGTGCATGGTTATATCCTCTGTTAAAGAATCTTTCACCTTGGTCCATATAGTGTCCTGCTTGGTTATAGTAGTCATTTGCTTTGTTATAATAGTTTCCTGCTTGTCTTCCTACATTGTCCATCCATCCTTGAACTTTTCCTCTTGTTTCAGGATTTGGAAAAGATTTGTTGCATCTCGTGCTACATCCCAACCTTTCTGTACAGTTTGTATAATAGGTTGTGCTTTCTCTTTAAGTATACCTAATGTACTCAAAATCTTCCTTCCAACTCCAAATACACCTCTGGCTATTGTTCCACTGCGGGTAAAAATCTAGATGCAACTCCTGCTAATGCGCCAAATAAACCCATTTCTTATAGGATAAAAAATGACGAATCCAAACAAGGACCCCTATGTTTCTAAAGCGACAAAGAAAGCACTCATGATAAAAATCTTTAGTTCAACACCAAATGCTTGGTTTATGGATATCTTGGAAAACATTCCGAGAGTTAGAACAGATGGACCACCATACTGGCTAATATTTGTCGGTCAAAACACAAGATACTGTGAAGCCATACCATTATGGTCCAAAAATATTTTAGATGTGAAAACTGCTTTGACAATATTCGTTGACAAATACCATCCAACAAAACTGACATCTGACTGTGAAAGTTCTTTCAAATCAGATGATGTAAAAAACTATCTGCGTTCAAAAAATGTAAACCAATATTTCATTGTCGACCAAAACCATTCTGCTCTTGGTGTCATTGACGGTTGTATAAAAATGTTAAGAGACTTAAACCAACCACAAGGTGGTGAAGCAAATGAAATGTCATATGACGACAAGTATAGACACTTCTCCATGGCAAAGATGAGACAAGTTTTAAATATTTACAATAGCCGTAAACAAAAAGGTTTGGGAAACCACTCCCCCGAAGAAATGAAAAACAACCCTGACTTAGAGAAAGACTATATATTTAATAATTTAGTCAAAAGAGACAAACAAGAAAGAATGCCGGGCTTCAAACTTCAGAAAGGTGACAAAGTAAAAATAGAAATACCTAAACGCGACCCATATGAAAATACTATTGACTATGACAACAATGGGAACCCGACAGGTACTCACATTCGTGTTCGTAAAAATAGAAGAAAGTATACAAGAGAATATTATGAAGTTTTAGGCAAACATGGCAAAATGTACACACTGCAAGCAGAAGATAAAACGACTATTGTCAGACCTCGTTTCAAACTTGTCAAAGTTCAAGGTGGTATACTTTCAAAAACAGTTCCTAACAAATATAAGACAACTCCTGACGAATATGCTAAAGAAGTTGAAAATGACGACTAAGCATTTCTATACCATGCGTAAACTGTCATGTAAGGTGGCATGTAGTCTTTACTTTGTCCCGTTGTTTGCGTATATCCCGAAACGCGATGTGTATGGTTTCCTCCTCCCTCAGTGTTACTCCAGAAACAATTTATAGCAAACTTAACGTTGTCTTTAACATCATACCCTTTACCTTTTGTCATTGCTGCCCAATCCCAATATCTATGCTTATGCCAACCTGCTTGAGATGTACTTAAATCTATGTAGTGACTGTGTGCAGGTAGATTTTCACCCGAAATCGTTTTACTTCCACCTGTTTCCTTTGAAGAGTTTGCACAATACAAAAACCTGTCGACTATTTGAGTCCAAGTTCCAAAACCCAGAACTGTTTCTGGTCTGGTAGAGTTCATTGACGTATAAATAGAGCCTATAGGATATAATGTTTGAAGCATTTCTGTCTTTAATGTTTGAAGCTCTGTTTTGTCTGCTTTCTTGTCATATAAATCTTGAGCAGTGAATTTAATATTATGTTCATCCTTCATGACATAAACATCTTTACATCTAATGTTTCTCATCGTCGTTATGTCGTCATCCGATGTTAAACCTTGTGGAAAGTTAGGAGGTTTACAATATATTGCATCCCCACCAGTTTCTTCAACCGTTCCTTCAATACTTTCTATAGCAACAGTTGTAAAACTTGTATGTGTATGGTTCTTGTCTGCTTTCTTTTCAAGGCTAACGTTTAAGTCTGTTATTTCAGAAGATGTATGTGTATGTCCAACGGCACTTTTCCTGTTTAAGGTTTCTTGTAAGTTTGTAATATTTGCAATGGTATGTGTATGAGTCCTTTTAGAATATTCGTTTTCAGCTCTCGTCACTTCACTTGACATTTTATTGTCAACATATGTTTTGTCTGCTAGTTCAGGATGAGTATGTTCTTTTGTTGCATAAGCATTGTTAGCTCTTTCTTCTTCTTTTGCTATTGCATCGTCTACATATTCTTTGTCAGCTTTGTTGTCAACATCTGCTTTCAAAAGAAGTTCATTTATAGGTTTCTCGTTTAAAGTTCCTTTTGTTGGATTTATACAGACAGTATTGTTCTTCTTGTCTTGAAATAGAAACTCATCTGTCATTGGGTTTAATGTCAGTTTTAAGTTTCCTTCTTTCAATGACTCAGATATCTTAGAATAGTTTGAAAAGTTTGTTGTGTTCTTATTTAGAGCTTGCATAATGAGTTGTCGGTTGTGTTGTATTTCTCTTATGGAAGCAATATCTTTCGACATTTTTATTCTAGATAAAATATGCTTTCAATAGAAAAAGAAAATTCAAGAGTTGCTACAACTAAACCATTAGATGAACTTTTTACTAATGTCGGTCAAAAGTTTGAGACAGAGACCGTAAAGCATGAAGGCTATCGTTTTGACTACCCATTAAGATGGCTAAGAGACCCATCTGTCACAAAAGCTATTGGCTTTCGTAGAATGAAGTTCATTTCAGAAGCCATACATGGTTTCCCATTTACGGTCGGTTTTGAAGTTCGATACTATAACAAAGAAAAACGTATGTATGAGAAATTTGAACAGGGAAAACTTTTACAAGTTAGTTTGCTTGTAAACTTAGAAACAACTCTTCAAGCTTTTCAAGAAAAAATAAACGACATCTATATCGAATATGCAAACCAGTATAACATTGACGAGGGAGAGTACCATCTCGATATTATTTATGACAGGAAAAATGCAACTGTTAAAATCAATAAAATAGAAGACCTTGGAGAAAACGTTTATATTTCTACAAAATATAACAACTTGGCATGGTATAGATTTATGAGGATGTTAAATCAGCCTGCAGCATATCCAGTACACCCAGACTATTATGAAGTCGAAAACCCTAATGGAACATATGAAAATATTTTCGACCAAGATGCTATTATTGTTCATGCTTCATTTTCTGGCGCTCAAAACTCTTTCTTATGCTTGGCAAATGACTTTTACGAAAAACCTACAAAGTTATACGAACCACCAAGTGGAAGTATTTCAGACTTTCAAGTATGGTTTACTACAGATGGAAGAAAAAGAATAATTCCATTATACCATGCGTTTTACTTAGAACTTAGTTTCATATACAACTACTATCGAACGGTAAAAATATAATTTTTTAATACGGTTGAGGTGTTGGATTTGGTTGCCAACTAGACTGTGGTGCAGGTTCAGGCTGTTGTATAACAGGAGCTTGTTCTTCTGGTTCAGGGTCTTTAGGTATAATACCAACAAACTGACCTACCCTTTTACCAATATTTTTGACACCGTTTCCAAATTCCTCTTCCTACGGTTTTTATTCCATTCCATATACCTCTTCCAACTCTTCTGAAGAAGTTTCCAATACTACTGAAGAAAACCCATTTTACTATATGTAAAAAATCTAATGTCCGCCTAGTCTCTTACGTTTCCTGTTGAGTTCCATAGCATTCTTTAACTGGAGCTCATACATTCTGTTTCTCCTCTGGTAGAAAACATATTCTGGGTCAACTCCTGTGTTCGCGTCATCTGCATAAAGTTGTTTATATCCCACTTCAGGGTTTGTATAAAACTCTTTCCATCTCATATTTGCATACCATGGTGGCAAACCTAACGCAGCGTCATTTGACATGGCAGTTTGCATTTGTACATCTGTTGGCACTTGACCATAGTTTGCCATTGCAGTTTGTATTCTAACTTCATTTGGAATATTCTCTGGGTTTGGTTGTCCAGGTTGCTGTGCATTCGCTAAGTTCTGTGCGTCCATTTAATATTAGATAAAAATATCTCTTACGAGTACATATGCTGAACATTTGCAGGCATTGGTTCATCTTCATATTCTCTGTACTTTTCTGCCACGTCAAATAAATAAATGACACAATGGAAAAAACCTAAAACAAGTAGTCCTATTTCAAACCACATTTACTTACTAATAAAATTTCTTTGTTATGACACTTTCTCCGGTTTATAGGACCTCTCTCATATTCTATCTTGTCATATCTAAACTCATAGTCATGTATGTCCTCTAACCATCTCATAACGGTTTCCAAACCACTTTTATCGGATGTAAAGTAAAAGCATGGATGGTTATGTAAAACGTCTAAAGTTTCTAAAGAGTCTCTCAAAGTCCAGTCTACTTGGTATTGAAAATCCCATGTGTTATAGAACGGCGGGTCCACTATAAAGAAAACATTTTCCTTGTCTTTATATTTTTCATACAACTCTGTCCAATAACATCTCACAAACTCTATACCCTCAATATATTTTTCTATGTCCTTCTTTGAAAACATTTGTATAGTTAAGATATAAAACTTTTGACATAAGTGTTTCAATGTCATGAACTCTTATAGAACCACTATATAATAGTCTAGCAGATATACTATCCCAGTCTATATATTCTGCTTTTTTCAAAACCTCTCTCACAATATTTTTCTTATCTAATGGTATACGTTCCATCTTACCTATAGGTATCTTTTCTTTTAACTCTTTCAATATATTGTTTGTGTCTGGAATATGTTTGAGACGGTCTATATAGTTGTCGAAGTCATTGCATATAATCTTTGAGTCTGGGAATATTGTATGGCACAAATGGGATATATAGAAACTTCCACCGAACAAATCTACAAATGTTAGACCATTCGGTAGTTTCTTAAGTTCTCTCAATATAATATCTTTACATCTACTCTTATTTCCAAAGAACGGTAACGGAGGTTTTGTAAAATTCATTTATATATAATAATAAAAATGTTTTTTTCCTGAAAGTGACAGAAAAGTGACAAAGCATGAAAACATATATAATTTGTGAAAAGCGACACATTATATAATGTTTTCGACCCAGAAGAAGGCTTCTTCCCAGAAGCAATGGAGGAAGAAGAAGAGTCCTCCGAATTCACACCAGAAGACTAACAATTTTCCGAATATAAACTTCATTTATACTAAACATCTTCAGGGCTAGAGGGCACGAAGTGCCTGGAGGCCCCACTTCCTTTTTTTTTTTTTTTTTTTTTACATATTCATAATGTTTCACCCTTTCAAAGATATAATCCCCCTCCTCTCAAATAAACGTACATACGGGTGGCCTCTTTTTTCAAAAAATTAAAATTTGAAATTTTGGGCTCAAATATTAGAGATTTTTTCAACCTTCAACGATATATGTTGTCTATATCAGACCTCCTTTCTTTTTGATACTTAACATTGTTCCTAAATCTTAGCCGTTAAGGCTGTTCTGAAAATATTTTTTTTTCGAAAAAATTCGAAAAAAATTCTTAAAATTCAAAAATCCCTTAATTCCTGAGGATTTTGGAAAAAAGTTTTTACATGAACATGTGTATATCATATGAAGTATATTGATAAGGTAAAAATCAAATTTTATTGCATATTCATCGAGAAAATAAACTAACGAATCCCTCAAAATTGAGAGGGTAATCCTCCTCCTCTCAAATAAACGTACATACGGGTGCACCCTTAAGTATATCAATAATGTTTTCTTAGTTTACATATTATTGATATTTGTATCATGCTGAAATGTGAGATCAATTCGATTGTATCATCGCTTATCTTGATGTGGTAAATTTTTGTCATTTCAACTATAAATGGAATAATTATAGGTTCAAAACGAACAGTGTAAATGTCGTCGAACATTTCAATGCATACAAATTTGAAATCAATATGTGTATCTTCTACAAGGTACTGATCAATGTATGATTTAAATTTTTAGAAAATTATCTCTGTTTTAGTTTAATAAAATAATATTGCGCGGTGAATTTGTATCTTAAAATTATGTAACTGTATCGGTAACAACGTCAAATGTCTTATTGACAAGATTTGTAAAAAAAATCAAAAATATACTTGAGATCATATAAATGTGCTCTTCTCTTTATAACGTAAGAATTGATCAAAGATAACATGTGTACTACTGAATATAAGATGAATTTTGTTGTTGATTCATAACATCAATATCAATCTCATTTGTTAAATCATCTTGAATATAAGATGAATTTTGTTGTTGATTGATAACATCAATATCAATCTCATTTGTTAAATCATCTTGAATATAAGATGAATTTTGTTGTTGATTGATAACATCAATATCAATCTCATTTGTTAAATCATCTTGAATATAAGATGAATTTTGTTGTTGATTCATAACATCAATATCAATCTCATTTGTTAAATCATCTTGAATATAAGATGAATTTTGTTGTTGATTCATAACATCAATATCAATCTCATTTGTTAAATCATCTTGAATATAAGATGAATTTTGTTGTTGATTCATAACATCAATATCAATCTCATTTGTTAAATCATCTTGAATATAAGATGAATTTGTTGTTGATTCATAACATCAATATCAATCTCATTTGTTAAATCATCTTGAATATAAGATGAATTTTGTTGTTGATTCATAACATCAATATCAATCTCATTTGTTAAATCATCTTGAATATAAGATGAATTTTGTTGTTGATTCATAACATCAATATCAATCTCATTTGTTAAATCATCTTGAATATAAGATGAATTTTGTTGTTGATTCATAACATCAATATCAATCTCATTTGTTAAATCATCTTGAATATAAGATGAATTTTGTTGTTGATTCATAACATCAATATCAATCTCATTTGTTAAATCATCTTGAATATAAGATGAATTTTGTTGTTGATTCATAACATCAATATCAATCTCATTTGTTAAATCATCTTGAATATAAGATGAATTTTGTTGTTGATTCATAACATCAATATCAATCTCATTTGTTAAATCATCTTGAATATAAGATGAATTTTGTTGTTGATTCATAACATCAATATCAATCTCATTTGTTAAATCATCTTGAATATAAGATGAATTTTGTTGTTGATTCATAACATCAATATCAATCTCATTTGTTAAATCATCTTGAATATAAGATGAATTTTGTTGTTGATTCATAACATCAATATCAATCTCATTTGTTAAATCATCTTGAATATAAGATGAATTTTGTTGTTGATTCATAACATCAATATCAATCTCATTTGTTAAATCATCTTGAATATAAGATGAATTTTTGTTGTTGATTCATAACATCAATATCAATCTCATTTGTTAAATCATCTTGAATATAAGATGAATTTTGTTGTTGATTCATAACATCAATATCAATCTCATTTGTTAAATCATCTTGAATATAAGATGAATTTTGTTGTTGATTCATAACATCAATATCA